GAAGCACACATGTAGGGGTAACATTTTGGGGGATAACCTTATGTTAGTTTAAGGGCAACCTGAAAATGTCTCTAATTATTGTCAAAAGAGTTGAAGACTGACTTTGGGAGGCCGAGGCAAGGAGATCACCTGAAGTCAGGAGTTCAAGACCAGCCTGGCCAACACAGCGAAAACCTGTCCCTACTAAAAATACAAAAATTAGCGGAGCATGGTGGTGACTGTAATCCCAGCTACTTGGGAGGCTGAGGCAGGGGGATTGCTTGAGCCAGGGAAGTGTAGGTTCTAGTGAGCAGAAATCATGCCACTGAACTCCAACCTGGGTGACAGAGCGAGATTCTATCTTAAAAAAAAAAAAAAAAATGGGGACTGAGTCTTGGGGCTTGTAGGAAGCTGAGCAAGAAAATTTTACTTCCAATAGCTTTATTACTTGTAAAACTATTCATGACTCATATAAAAAGTGGAAGGGACAAGGTAGGAGTTTAGTTATGAGGGTACAAATTAGTTTGTAGGTACAATGGGGGAATGGGGCAGAGACAAAGGAAAAGCAGAGGAATGGACTGCAGGGAGATAGGTGGGGGATCACCTGAAATTTTAGAAGCGAGAAGCTTGAAGAACAGGAATTATTGCCTCATTAAAGGGGAAATATTTGTTTTAGGAATCCACTGTAAACATTTATCTGATTTGCCTAAGAATGAAGTAGGAATAGGTCTCTGTAAGCTTCAGGATGTACTGGAGAGGAAACCCAGGCATGGACAGCAAATATCCTTTCTTGATTGTATTCTTGTCCCTAGAGTCTTAGAGGATTTAGTTTTAGACTCAAGGCCCTCTAGTCCGTATCACAGTGTGCATGTATGGACCATCTATCTATAGCATACATTTTCCCTGGAAGTGAGTTTAAAAACAACTATTATAAACAAAAACAGGAAGCAAAACAAACAAGGAAACAACAATTTAGCACTGCAGAGGATGAAGGAAGATGGGGCAGAGAAAATGCACTTCCCACACTACCTAAATGCTGTTAATAAAAAAAGACCAGCAGAAAATGGCAAGGTTGGGATTTTCTAAACAGCCAACACCCAACTGCTTTATTCATTCTATGACTATAACGTCATCAAATATTTATTGAACACTATTAAGTACCACAGATAAGCACTAAGGATGAAGAATTGACTTAGGCAAAGTCCTTACCTTCAAGGAATTCACAGTCTATGGGAGAACACTCATAAATTATAACACCATACCAGGGCAATTGAGCTTGGGAGTGGGATAACCTGGCCCATTGAGAACAATGCCTATAAGCATAGGGATATGGCTCTGTGCTGACAAAAGAAGTGTTGGGGATCAGCTGCACTTCTGGGTCTCCATTCAAACTATAAGTTTAAGTAGAAAAAGGGTGCAGCTGAGCTTTGCGATTGATTCAGAATACAGCTGCTAAATCTAACTACAGTTCTTTTGGCACTGCTAACCAGGCTGGATTCTGCCTGGTGGTCAAAGGCTGCCAAATCCTGGATTTAAGACATTACCTTTCCAAAGAAAAATAGCTATAATGAAAATCGCATACAACTTACATAAACTTTAGTAATATAACACACACATTACCTTTAAAAAAAAGACACTAGTATTTTGTTACATATGGACCGTCAAACTGACTTAAAAGTTATTTCTTGCTGTCTTTTATCTTATTTCCATAAGCTTTATAATTTTAATAGTACCCATCTGACTCTACCCAATGATAAATTTATTTGAAAACTTCTCCAAAAGAAACTTTCTCAACATTTTAATTATTTGAACTTGCCTTTATGAACTTAAGGCACAACTTGCCTGAGCCTTGGTTTCATCAACTGTAAAATGGGGACGATAAACTCCAGAACACCAGCTATTGGTAAAATTCAAATGAGATTAATATGTGTACAAGCTGGAGTCTAACTGAAAAACAGCCTCTGCTTTACATCTAAATGAGAAATATTATAGCCTTGAAGCTTGACTCCCCCAAGATGCTCTAAACTGGAAAAGTGTTAAGACTAGGTGAATCTTTTCCCAGGATAAGAACGGCATGAAGAGGACAATGGAGAAGAGATAAAAGTAGTCTGGTTGTGACAGAGCCCCTTACAGATATTCAATGCTGATTTGGCTCATCAAGCCAGTTTGTCTAAGCTATTACTTTCCTCTGCTCTCTCACCCTGTTATTTACTTGGTTAAACACGTTGACCTTGCTGGATGAAGGGATACCACTCCTTTAGCAGAAAAAAAGGTGGGAGGGTCTGAAATCCTGAGTGCCTTCATTGTAGAAAAGTGTTCTGTACTGCAAGAACAGCATCTAAGGCAGCATATATAGTGTCTGGAGCCCAACTGAAGGCCAATAATTGATTGTAATAAACAATAAGATATTTTCTATATGATACAGGTATATAAAACTATATTCATTTACAAATATTTTTAAAATGCAGAAAATGTATATTTGGACAGAACTGCCCAATTTTAAAGTAAAGGTTGATAATGAGTTTTAAAAATTGAGGTTAGAAAATCTATTTGACAATGTAAATATATTGAATTGGGCAGCGAATTAAAGTGATTCTCAAAATGTTTCACTGGATAAAAGAAAATAATTGTGTTGAATTTCCTTAATTTAACATTTCAAACTTTAACTATATTACTTAATATTGTCTGAAATCTGGGCTGGGCATGGTGGCTCAACCCTGTAATAGAAGCACTTTGGGAGGCCAAAGCAGGATCACTTAAGGACAGGAGTTTGAGGCCAGCCTGGGCAACATAGTGAGAGCCCCCCACCATCTCTAAAAAAGAATGTAAAAATTAGCTGGGCATGGTGGCATGCATCCTAAGTCCCAGTTTCTCAAGAGGCTGGGGCAGGAGGATCACTTGATCCCAGAAGTTCAAGGTTGCAGTGAACTATGATTGTGCCTCTGGACTCCAGCTTGAGTGATAAAGCAAGACTGTCTCCAAAATGTATTGTCTGAAATATTTTATAGACACTTCCCAGTGAACAAATTTGTTGTTTGGCCATTTTCTGCATGTACATCAAGTAATACACATCATTCTTTTTTACCCATTGTCTATAATTTCTCACTTACAAATTATTCAAATTGATTACATAATATGTTTTAGGGAATATCATTCTCAGTTTTCCCCCCAAATAGGCCAGAATGGTAACTAAGGAAACAAGTGAATGAATGTTTAACTTTGTTTAAACATGTACTGCAATACAGATGATCATTTTGATAAACAGTAATGACTTTCAGCTTTGAGAAATATTTATAAGTTAGCAAATCCAGAACATGAAGCAATACACCAAATAAAGAAACCAACCTCAGTAATACAGATGTCTATTTTATTAAAAAAGTTACAAACAGGTGGACTGCAGGGTTGTCTTACAAAATGACAAGAATGAAATCTATTGGAAAAATTTTACTTTTACAAATCTTTATAGGTAATTGTTCAATGTTTGTACTTGTTATTTGAGATTTTACCTTTCACTGATAAAGTTACAGTACATTAGATCCATGATAATAGGTTACATTATTTTATTTGCAGAGCCCTACTGCAGTGATTTGAACAACTCCTAAACAGATGCCATAGTAAAGACAAGACATATATTGCATTTAATATTAATTTATTATCCTAATAAGCAACATGCAATCTATTGAGGAAGCTAAAATAACTTTTGGTCCCTTTTCTTAAAATGTGCTGGAGAAACCACCTTTAAAATCACTTTCCCCTGATTCCTGTGATCCTAAGTGAATTCAAGTCAAATTTGCTGCTGAGGTCAATGACAATGAACACTGTAATTGAGAGAGAGACAAAGAGAGAAAGAGAGGAAGAGAGAAAGAGAGAGAGAGAGAGAGAGAGAGCGAGAGCAAGAGAGAGAGAGAGAGCGAGAGCAAGAGAGAGAGAGAGAGAGAGAAACAAGAACACAATCTACAGGAAAGAAACACTATAAAAAATCAAAATCTCTAGAAAATTTAAATCATGATGAATTATTTGATTCCTTTAGAATTTCACAAAACTACAAAGCTAGTAACAATGATCCATGATCACTTAACCTACTTTTAAATGAGTGTTTGGTTTTAAGTTTGGTATTAAAGTGCAAACTTAAATTAAGTATTCATTTCAAGCAGTTCATAAATAAGGAACAATGTTTCAATTGCCTGTATCTTTAAAATCTCACTGTAAAATTCAAAATTTAAGAACAAGAGTTCACTTTGAGGGAATTTACTCAGGAATCAAATGCAACACGATTTAAAAAAAGGAAATCAAAGTTTAATCAATTTCTACTCAATAATTAATGGTCATGCTGACCAATAAATCACATGAATGTAGATACCACTTTATTTGAACATCACACACAATATAAATTTAAAATTGCCACACCCTTCCATAAACCATCACTGCATATATTAGAGCTTTCCTTGACAAAGTTATTGAGCTATTATTATAGATCAAAAGCATAGTTTTGGTTTTTTTGTTTTGTTTTATTTTATTTAGAAGCATGTTCAAATGACTAAAGCTGGGCTCCTAAAATCGAGAACTTTGGTGCAGGAGGTGAGCTGCAGTTACTAACTTCTGCAAATGAAAAGCACACAACTAAAATCAAATACAAACCCAACAATAAAATACTGTCAAACTTATACAATTTAAAAATCATTGCTAGAAAAAGCTCTCATTGTCACGATGTTAAAACTGAATCAAAATATTACTCTTCATAAGTTTCCTTTCTGATTCTATACCTGCGTTACTGTTAAAATGTTCAAGTATTCAGACAAAATGTGCTGATTAGGTAAACAACATGGAAGGCAATGGCTATTAGAAAGCACATTTGCAAAAATAAAAAATAGCCCAGAGACTTGGCGCTATTCTCCCTCCTATTACACAGATTTTGTCTCTACTACGAACATGCTTCTTGAGAAATAACTAAAAAGCAATTGTGATAGTGCAAGAAAACTTTAACAAATATTGCTTTAAGCTATTATGCAGAAAGACAAATATTAAGAACTAGAAAGTGTATATGATTTTATTTGAATTCAATTTTACATGTGCAGAAGTCTACTAGATGTCAATTACAAGCCTGACAGGCAAAGATGAGCTATCTCTGTTTAAGTATACAATTAATTTACCATGGATACAATATCCCTTTTCAAAGGCATTGCTAAATAGGTCATAACTAAATTTAGAACTTCACAGAAAGGAAAATATTACTGCCGCAATTCAATGCTATTAATGAGATTAACACATGTGAAAACCTAATGGAATTGAATGTTTAACTCTTCATCTAAATGCTCTACAGTCAATTTCAAATATCAATTGTAACTTTCAGAACATGTTAATTACAAAAACAAAACAAACAAAAAAAACAACAACTCCACACACATCACAAACTGCACTTGAAGAAAAGGGATATTCCATCCATACAGGTAAAATGTGATCTTTAATTTCTTTTTACAACACTGCCAAACGTAAACAAAGTCTCAAAGTATTAACCAATAATTTTAAAGGAGAAAGATTTTACAAATAGGATGAAGCACTGGTATGAGGTAATATACAGAAGTAACCATTTGTTTAAGGCTCAATTTTTTTCTCCATTATAACTTTCTTTTAAAAGGCATTGCGTAGGTAATACTGAGTTTGAGTATTTAATAAATACAAGTCAAGAAACTGATTAAAGAAATCAATTAAAATATTAAAAATTAACCCTTGCATATTAGCCATCAATAAGAACTTAGAAAGCTATAAAAGGACTGACTGATAAAGAACAGATTTTAAACGTATGGTAAACGTGCTAAGCATTCCTATTAAAGGTCAATGGATCTTGAAGGCCAAAGACCTTACGCACTTAAATAGATGTATGGCAACATGCTGTAATAGAGACAGGTTTACCAAGGCTCAGTTCTGCAACCCAGGTTGTAAAGTTCTCCAAAGCAGCATCTGTGCAAATTTCCTCTGAGTTTTATCTGCAATTAAGATAAACATGTCATAAAAATGTAGAAATACATAGTTTTAAAAAAAGAACACTGACAACAGATCTATATACACGTAGAAGTGGTAACAAGAATAACAAACTTCAGTTGAAGTAAAAAGTTAATTTGCCCTCGCCCTGATAAGCCATTAAAAAAAAAAAAAAAAAAAAACAGAAACACAGAAGTGATGCGTTAGATACAATGTGCTTTGTGTGTGCATGTGTATAGCTACTCTAGCTTATTTTTGTAGTATTATTATGCCTTGTGCTTATATTATACCTATGCAACATTAAAAATGTCCGTACTGGTTTAAATGATCTTACAGCATAAAAGTTGTTGCAAATGCTGCTTCTACTTTGATCTCTTCACATTTTAACTGGAAATGGTATTAGAATCAAATGCATATTAATTATGAGTTAATTGGCAGTATGTTAGACTTTTCCTAAATTTAATTTTTTGAGAGACTAAGAAAATGTGATTCGGCTGGGCACAGTGGTTCATGTTTGTAATCCCAGCACTTTGGGAGGCCAAGGTAGGAGGACTGCAGAAAGAAAAGAAAAGAAAAGAAAAGAAAAGAAAAGAAAGGGAAGGGAAGGAAGGAAGGAAGGAAGGAAGGAGGGAGGGAGGGAGGGAGGGAGGGAAGAAGGAAGGAGGAAGGGAGGGAGGAAGGGAGCAAGGGAGGGAGGGAGGGGAAGGAGCAAGGGAAGGAGTGAGGGGAAGGAGGGAGTGAGAGGAAGGAGGGAGTGAGGAGGAGAGCGGAGAGGAGGGGAGGGAAGGGGATTCAATCAAGGTCTAGATACTGAGCACCTACTAGGTACAGAGGTTTGGTCAGATGCTAGGTGATAGCAGTAGTTCACATTTCCCACTCGGGCCTGCCCGTTTTTGGGGATATCCTCCCAACCACAGTATCTTCTTTTATGACTGGGATTCCTCAATCCCTGCTCTTATAGCTGATAGATTTCTGCCCTTCCAGCTAATACCAGGGGGGAAAAATCTATCACTCAGACAGACAGAGAGTCCTTCAACTGTACTGAATCACCAAATAGCTTCTAGGGGAGTTATGTTTGTTTTTTAATGCATGAGATAAAAAATGTTATTATAAAGCCAGAAACAAAAGTAGAACAGCCACTATGAAAGAATGCCAAGGGAAACCAGTTTATAATCATTTAAGGGTTCTACCAATGTTTATAAATGCATAATTTTAATTTCATTTGACAGCTACACTTCTATTAGTGTTCAGAGTCTGAGATAATGCTTTATTAGCAGCTATATCATAAAAATGATTACTATTAAAGAACATCGCTCTGCTCACTATTGAAATTCTGCCACCTAAACACATTAGGAAAAAACAGAACAAAAATCTGCCTCTTTAGAAACTATTACAGAAACATTTTTCCAGTTAAAAGACATTTTTGCATTAAATTGTTAATTATGACACTGGCTATTTAAGCTTGGGCAAGTCCAGTTTCCTCATCATTGAAAAATGGGATAAAAATACTTTCCTCACAGGGATGTTGTAAATTTTGTTTTCCTTTCTTAACTATGTTATAAATTTCTAGAAGACCGTGATTGTACTTTTGATATCCAGACTAAGGACCTTTATATATTTTTAGCCTAGCTGGAATTTCTATACATATTTGAACACAACACTATTCAAATATGTATTCATTATGAATACTTTTTAGTAATTTAGACAAGACTTCAATTAGTTTGAATTAACGAATTTGCTATAAATTTTGGTCTACATTTTTCAAATCAAACAATTATAAAGAGATTGGGATTTTCAAATATGATTATATCTCTTAAATATTGAAGACCTGTTCAAGCATTCTCTAAAATCAAATTAAGAAAGTAGTTATTATTTATTTCTAGCCAAAATAAACATTAATAATCAAATCATCTTACTAACCATAATCTATATTGAATAAAAGGTGATATATTAATCACCTCCCACCCTCTAAAAACCTGAGTAACATTTGGTCCATTCACATCCACAGGATGACAATACTCCTGTGAAATCAAGAGATATAGATAAATCCTGAGTTAGACTCAAGAATATTAACATTAGGCATATCTTAAAGGAAACAAAGTATTAATACTAGCTACTTTTCAAGAGAGCAATAAATTATAATTCTGTAAATAAATCCTAAAGCAAAATGCTTGCATTAAACAAATACAAGTCTCTTTCAGATGAGAATTTCAAGTGTAAATGTTCTTGCTCCACAGTGACAGCAAAATTTTCAATATACTGACACTCTCATTTATGTAAAAAAAATTGCTAAAGGTTTAAAGGCAGCTGGTCAAATCATTACTTTTTAACTTGCAGGATATCACATCAAGCACATTGCAAAGGTATAACTTGCAGCTTTCAAGATAAAACACATGTTATCCTCGACCTCACTCTCAAGTTTCCAGCAAGACACTCAACAAATCCTAACTCCGGAATTTACTTAATTGTTTGGTTTTACTATTCAAACTCTTACTTAATTGTTTGGTTTTACTATTTTTTTGCTTTTTACCATTGCAGTATTATAGGAAAGTACAAAACAAAACAAGAAATACACAATAGTATGAACCTTTTGCTCAGGAAATTATAAAATAAATAGTGTCTTCCAAGTGGAGTAAATTGGTATACGAGAATACCAAACACAGAACAAAAGGAACAAAGATCATTTTTTTTGTCAGCCTGAAGAAAAAAGGGGATTCTTGATTCAAGACTAGCACATCATTTCACATGGCAGCAAAATGCCTGAAATGTTAACAAAAGCTCCTGAAAGGCTTAGCAGTTTATGAACATCTTTTTAGTTTACCTGGACTTACCATATTTAAATACAATGGTATTGACTAGAATTCTTTCTCTCTCACAAATATTAGCATGTAATCATAATCACTTTTAATTTTTTTCCAGTTTTATAACATCAAGATGAAATTATTTTATTAAAATAATTTTAATACATTATTTCAATAATTTTAATAAATCACCAAAATGGTTAAATAATTATATTATTTTAATACATTAAATTTGTTAAAATAATTTTAATGTTTTCTTAAACAATTATTTCATTAATAATTTAATAAAACATTAAAATTATTATTTTAATACTAATAATTTTAATCTCAGAGACAGGATCTTGCTCTGTCATCCAGGCTAGAGTGCAGTAGTGCAATCATAGCTTACTGCAATCTGGAACTCCTGGGCTCAAGGGATTCTCCTGCTCCAGTCTCTTGAACAGCTTAGACTACAGGCACATACCACCATACCCAGCTAATTTTTTTATTTTTATTTTTTGTAGAGTCAGGGTCTCACTACATAGCCCAGGCTGGTCTTGAACTCCTGACCTCAAATGATCCTTCCACCTCAGCCTCCCAAAGTACTGAAATTACAGGCACGAGCCACTGTATCTGGGTTCAGGCTGGAATTCCTCTGAAAGAGGTTATATTTTTGTTAAATATCTTTTGTTTCTCTATCCTAATGTGCATAATACTCATGAAGCTTATTGGGGTTGGAATGGGAGGACTAGGTCATTAAATGTGTTCACTGGCACAATTAAACACAGACAGCAAAAGCTGAACCTATGGCATGGAATCCTTGAATGGAGGTAGAATCATACATGAAGGAAAGCAAGCTCACTAAATGTTTATGGTGGACCCAGGGTAGAAGTGACAGAATTAGCTATTTTTCTTATGTACTAGACATAAAAATCTCTGAATGTTTAAAAAATTAATATGATGAGTTCAATTCTGAGATCTCAAATACTATAACCAAGTCCAGTGATAATAAACAGCAGTATGAGCCCAATGATCCAATTCCAGCTGCTAGCTTTGAATTAGACCAGGTAGGTTAGTACTCCCCTCAACTCTAAATTGCTTTTTCTGAATTTGATATTCCTAAGATTGGCTAATCAAAAGAACTTGGAAATATGTTTTTGATTGGATAAGCTTTTCTAAGAGCTGACAGGACTTAAGTTTTTCTTAGTGATATTATCTTCTGAATTGTAGAATTCTACTGAGAAGTAATCCCATGGGGAGAATCTTTTCTGTAGTATGGCTAGAACACTTCCTTGGTGGCAATTCTCCAACTCCATGATGCAATATTTGTTAATTCTACTGATGGTTCATTCTAAGCCAGAGAGGTAATGGAGTAAAATAGAATAGTTCATATGCATTTTATTCTGCAATAAAAGCCTAATCTTGGGGTTAAAAGGAAGCAATTAAAGAGGGAACAGATATACAAAGAGTCATTCTAATCACCAGACACCTCCACATCCAGAGCAGGTCTAACTAGGTAGGCACCTTTCCACTCTCAAGTCTCAAGTCATGAACCCTATGAATTCAGTGACGAGCTGAGAGAATTAGGGGTAGTAGAAAGGGCAAGGGAGCTTCGTTTTCCCCTTTTACTCCAGGTTTACTGAGGGGCTTTCTGGTATATACTACCCCCAAAGCATGCTTCTTCCTCCATTTAACTCCTCTGCTCCACTTTGACTCGCCATGTGAAGTGGGTGACAGATGAGCATTTTAAATAAGCCATTTTCCCCATTCAAAGTGATATGCAAATAGAGCATTGGGAAAAAAGAAGTATCTAACAAAACTGTAACTTGTATAACAGAATCCCACCCCAGTGTTTTACTAATATTATTAATATTTACCTTGTACAGGAAATTTTAAGTATGTGATGTGATTTGATTTGAGGATTTTTCTCCTCATATTTGCTAAACCCCCAGCAAATCATATCTAATTAAAACCTAAAAAAATTTAAAAAACATTCTGATTCTACATATTTTTTATTTTTGTCTTAAAAAAACCTGAAAATGTTCATCAATTCCACTGTATTTAAGAAAAGTAAGTCTAGCTAGACCAAAATCACATTCATATATAATTTAGCCTTTCAGTAGCTTTTGTTAGCATCCCAAGCATTCTGCTGCCATGTGAAATGATGTGCTAGTCTTGAACCAAGAATTCCCCTTTTTCTTCAGGCTGACATACATATATAATGAACTGGGGCTGACATAAATAATGATCTTTGTTCTTTCAGTTTGCTTCCTTGTGTTTGGTACTCTTAAGCACCATTTTACTCTAGTTGGGAGAACCTGTTCCATAATACACTGAGAAAAATAGTATAAAATGTTTCAGGAGACCTTCAAACCACAGTGAATAACACCCTTCCCTCACCCCCCTGCCCCCTGCTCCCATTTTCTTTATCACTTTCATCAATACTGGACTGACATAAAGGAATCCTTGAAAAATCATCTTTAAAACATTCTATTTGCCAAAAAGATACATCAAACTGTCACACTTAAGAGATAACCTTACTGCATTTCCCCCCTTTCTATTAGGGAATCAACAGAATATTTTAGGGTATTATTATGCTCCTTCTTGGCATTCCTTCTATTTGAAAATCAACACTGACACCCACCCACCCCCACACACCAATCCTCTCAAGTGCTACCCATCTTCAAAGCCTGATTCAAATGCTATTGCTCCCAATCTCTCCACCTCAGTGGCTCTTAACCAAGGGCAATTTTGTGCCCAGGGGATATTTGGCAATTTCTGGAGATATGCTTGTCATAATGGGGGATGAGGAAGATGCTACTGGCATCTAGAGGGTAAAAGCTAGGGATGCTGCTAAACATCTGACAATGCATGGGATAGCCCCAAACAGCAAAGATTCCAGAATGTTAAGAAACTGTTCTAACTGGACGTGGTCTGTCCTTTCCCTGGACTCCCACGAGACAGTGATTTACTTATTTTATATATAGTACTATGGGATTATTAACAAAACATTGATCCTTCTCAACAAAAATATACCAAAAGAGTGAACTGTCAGTAATTTATACCAGCACAGAAGAGCTATGATACAGTGAATGAAACCAGAACGGGGCTACAATGCTGACCCGGGTAGTTTTCCATTATATTGCTGCCATACAGCAAAAGAAGTCCCTTTAAAGCATTTGATTGTAGGCTCCTCAGGTTAGTAAAGAAGTCAGGATGATAGTGTATAAAGAATCTGGCTATGCTTCCAAACTTACACTAAAGTTACTGCCAAATGGAAGGGTAAAGGTGAGAAAACAATCCTGGGAGCCATGCAGATAAACAGGTGTTAGGCAAGAGACTAGTGACCCAAATTGAAAGGTGTTAAGACATAAATGTGAGGAATTATCAGAAGCAATTCTTAGAGCATTAATAAATTTTCCATCTCAGTTAAAAACAACCAATTAACAACAATAACAGTGTTTCTGATTTACATCCTATTATTTCTAACTCGGACAAGGTACTCTTCTAAATATTAGGAACAAACATTTCTTAAATCACCTTTACCTGTGAAAGTTTGATCTTCAATCTAGATCTGGATCTGACAAATTTCAAAGTTCCATGACTCATGCTATAGGATTCAAAATCCACCATCTATTTTCTTTTCTTTTTAGGTAAATGGTGAACCAGGACAACCACAAATTTTACTAGCCTCAGATTACAGATTCTCATATATGGGAATCAATTCAATTTTATCTGATGTCAGAAAAGAAAAACCCTGCATATTTTGCACTTTGTTCTAAAAGATCTTGGTCAGGGAGTTCCAGTTAATATTTTTAGAAATTCAGCTTATTGGATATTTTATTTCAAGGCTAACACCTTCATTTATATATTCTGGTTACAAAAACAAGCAAAAAACTGCACAGAGAACTTGACCGATTACTGTAAAAATGAATAATTATTGGTATTAATACTTTCCATTTTCAGTATGTTAATTAACAAAAAATGAAAATATAGTTGGCTTGAGATACTAAAAAAAAAAATCTACGTACTCATTCCCGTATGTAACCAAATAGGTTAAAAATAATTCAGATACAAAAATTTATTAAATGAAATAAACTCAGAAATAATTCAGGAGAAAATAAGTTCAAACATAGCTTTAGAAATTATTCACCTGCCAATTTGGCTGAGACAGCTGGCCCTCTACATGTATGAGACCAATTTTATTCAGTTAACCTCCTATAGCTATCTACACTAATGACGGCAAAAAAACTGGGAACATTTTGTGGGAGTTGGTAAATTTTTTATAAAGATGATAAAACTAACACAAAATGAGTATGTACACTTACATCATCTGCCCAGTAAGTGTCAGATAGAAAAATAGAGCAAAATGGCAAAGATGCAATCACCACACAGAAGTCATTCAAATGTGAAGATGGCTTACAATTTAAGGAGAGAGATTATAGCAGCAAGAACATGGGACTTGATCCATAAGCTCTCTCCTCCTCAAAAGACTATACTGCAAGTGTGATGCTATCAACCAAACATAAGCTGGACTACAGTCTGAACAGTGACTTTATAAAATAACAGGTGTAGCCAGACATAAGAAAATAAATGAGTTTTCATCATATTCTGGTATGCTAAAGGCTGATGAGTGAAAGCATTTTGAATAAAGCATTGTTGTCATCCTTCATTTTCAAAGATGACACTATCTGACAGGAGACCTTGTCTGAAAAGATAAATTAGTGACTGTTAGTCTTTTCTCCAGGGAGCATACACAAAGCCAGACCTTTGATTAGGAATCATTGCTGCAATCTGAAATGCCTGTTGCCATTTGCAACACTGTCTCCTAGACTCGAGGTCAGCCTTGGCTCAGGAAGATCAATTTCATTCCTGATACTGTCAGGCTAGTCTGGCATTTGCTGTGGTTTCTCAGTCATTCATAATATTGGTTGTTTTATTCTATTATCTAAGTGTTACTGTCTAAGTGAGACTATTGGCTCAATTACAATCTAGACTAAAAGATCATGACATGAATAAAATAATCTTGTTTTAAATGCTTCATAATTTTACATAATCTTACTTTTCAAAAAACTCATTCACGTAAAAAACTTGTAAGTTATTTAACTCAGTGAAAGGCCTGAAGGTTTGTTACCATTCCTATTAATCTCATAATTTATTAAACTACTCAACTTTTTGTGCATGATACTGTTCTAACACATCACAGACAATTCAACCAGATTCTCATTTGGAACACATATTTATAATGAAGTCAGGGTACATTGTGGCACTATAATTTGTTATTATCAGAGGTCACTTAAGTCCTTCAAGTGCTAGGTACAGATGAATTTGATTAAATAATTGTATTGTTAATCAAGCACTTGGTGATTAGTAAATTATTGATTTTAATTGTAGCAATTTGCTTCCTGAGGATACAAAAACAAAGTATAGAAAATACTACAGAACTTCTGAAATATTACTGAGTGCTCTCCTGTGCATTTTGGATGCTAAATCAGAAAAACAGGGAAAAAGTGTATTATGGTTTAACTCAAGCCAAATAAATGTTACCAATAAAGCAGAGAAGGAAGAACAATAACTCAAAATCTTTGCGATGGGAATACAAGCAATTTCTTACCTCTGCTTTGCTTATCTGCATTTTAAAAAATTTTCTTCGTTGAATGTTAACTATTTTGTGTGATGGAAAATGTTACTCTAAAAATAAAGAAATTTAAGATAGTGCCATGTGTATAATACTAACCAGCTTTTCATTATACTTGATCAAAAAACAAAACACTACCTGATTCATACAGGTCCATCAACAACTAACCTGCTCGGTATGGCCATGATTGAGGTTATCTTTTTTACTGGACAACGCAAGTTGTACAACACTGATCTTGCTTCTCGGGCAGGGATGAATAGTTCATTTGCCTGACGATCTCAGCAAAAAGTTCATCCACCATTGATTTACTTTTTGCCGATGTCTCCATAAAAGGACAGCCCCATTCTTGAGCCAGAGCTCTGCCTTCTGAAGACATAACCTCTCTTTCTGGTTCCAGATCCACTTTATTTCCTACTAGGATTAGTGGGACTTTTTCATATCTCTTCACTCTGACAATTTGATCTCTCATTGGCTTGATATCCTATTCAAACAATCACAAAGAGAAAGAAAAAAATTATGCTGTTTGTATAACCATAACAGAAATATTACAATATTACAAAAAGTCATACCTCAGTGAGTATACAAGGCTGAATCCAAAATAAAATCACATCTAAACAGACAATACGTCATCATTTTGTCCACTGAAGAACTAATTTCCACAGACCCTGCCTGCTGAGTTAGTCAAGAATATAAAACATGGGTTGCACACTAACCTTGACTCATAGGATCACTTTTCCCCACCCGCAGTCTATACTGATTAAAAAAGCAAGTTTCCAAATGATTAATCCATTCATACATAAGGATGTTTGGCCATCTCCCTAAACCTGCTTGCTTGTCATCAGTCCTTGTAACACCTGTTATCCTAGCACAGGATTGCTGCATCTATGCATTCCCAGCCATGCAGCAAGAGGGCTTGAGAGAAAGTGTTTTAAGTGGGAACAAAAACCGCTTTGTAATACCTAGAAGAAAAGAGTTACAACCAGATGGATACACTTAAATGTTTCATTTTAAAATGAGTGGTATGCATTTATTCCAGTAAAGTCAAACACCTTAAAATACACTTAAATTCACTAGAAACTACTGTTAACAGTGAGCAGTTCCTGGGAAGGACAGTGCAAGGGATGTCTGGATGGGAAGAAGTAAAAAAATATAAATTTTAACCTGTGTTTGTTTTTACTACTTGATTGTTTCCCCATGTGTATTACTTTTTCCAAGTAGTTACAAAGAATTACAAAAGTTAAGAGCCTTAGCGATTCTCCAGCAGCATCAATTTTGGGAGGTGGGGGCAAGTAGTGATTTAAGACAATATTATATATTTAATTCAAAAAATTGACATTTTTTGTAATATTTCACAATTTAAAAAGTTTGCCTTAAATAGAAAATGTATGCTTAATTAGAAGTCATAGTAAGCACAGAATATTCACAAGTGGGTCAACAGAAAAGCAAGAGACTGTGAAAATCTATAAAAATACAGTTATTTGATATTTGTATCATTTTAGTTTGATCATGTATCAACTCAGTCTTCTAGGTTATGCTTATTTCCCATGGTCTTTATGGAAACATAAGTCCAGGTGAAAATCCAAACTTATAGCCTTTGGGCTCAAAAGAGTTTACATCGCCACCAAAATAATGGCACAGTTTTTCGCTCCCAGTTCATGTCTATAACAGAAATGGAAATAATAGAAATTGTATGAACCACTTTTCAAAAGACTCTCAGCCTCCAGAAAGTAAGATGATAGAATAACAAATCTCCCGAGGATCCTTTAGGGAAAAAATGCCTGTCAAACAGCACCTTCAGTACTTTGGTACTTTCTGAGGGAAAACGCTCTTATGATACTATTGCTTGGGAGTTCACACCTACATAAAATGAACTTTAGTTCGGTCTCAATAGCGTTGGTTTATTTCCCCAGAATGTATCATTTTAAAACAAAATACCTGAAGTTATTCTATCAGGATACTGGGAAAGTTCACTATAGTACTTTAATTTAAAATACTAAAGAAAGTGGAATTAGCACATTGTATTGGCTAAAGCACTTAAGGTCTCTTAAGTAAGCAACATTAAGTGCATACCTTTAAATGCAGAAAAAATATATCCATTTCCTAAATCAATGGAGGTCAATATAATGGGTCAATATGAGGTTATTTATTTTCAAGGAATAAATAGAAACATGTATTGCATCTCCTAAAATAACGTTAAAGCTTCAGTGTTTCCCAGTGAAGGACAGGACAGATTTTCTAAGAGATTGGACCACATCCAGTTTGGCCACCCAGCCGGAGTAAGAAATCTGCACTTGTTCGGTGTTGCCAGACCCAAATATTTTCTGTAAATACAGGCAATGTTACCAGAAACAATTTGGATCAACTGCAGAAAAGGAGTCATTCCTGATTTTTGTTGGTTATTAATTCTAGGTACTAGTCTTTTCTATTAGCAACTTTCCTTCCCACTACACGCCCCAAGTAATTAAGTAAAATGCCTAGAAGGCAGGTCTTGAGTTCTTCATCTTGCAACACTAAGATTTATGAATCTAGTTGAGAAACTTGAGAGAGAAGGGGAGGGCGGCGGGAGGGGGTGTTGGGGGGTGAGAGGGGAATGTGTGGGTGGAGCAGACACAGAGGGCTTATCTGTGCAACAGATAATCTGCTCCAAATAATTTTTTCAAAGTGCTCTATTTACCCGAGATTATCTGTTAGATGTTTTGTTAAGTTAATCAATACTTGTTGAATTGAGCAAGCAACTTCAGAAGGTTATATTCTGGGCTAAATATACACAGAGTGACCTATTCCTTTTTCACCTTTCTTTCACTTAAAAATAGCTTTAAAATATTTGTTGGCGTTTGTTTTACGACAGCCTGTAAAAACAACCCGATAGTCTTCCATGCCAGGAGTAACCTCAAAAATGCGTCATGTCTAACTTTCAAAAGCAAACCATAGTCATTAATGCACGGTTCAAGCAACTCAAGTCTATTTCCATTACCACACCCCCGTCTAACAAATTACAAGACTTGGTTTGGTTACCTGAAAAGACTGTTGATTAACCAGGCTATAAACCAGGATGAAACCTTGGCCGTTTTTGATGTAGAGATCTCTCATAGAGGCAAACTGCTCAGTTCCTGCGGTGTCCAGAATTTCCAGCACGGAGGGGGAAGAGTCCACTTCGATCTCTTTGCGGTAGAAATCTTCAATGGTGGGGTCATATTTCTCAATGAAAGTCCCAGTGACAAACTGCACAGTAAGGGCAGATTTGCCAACCCCTCCGCTCCCTAACACCACTACCTTGTATTCCCTCATGAGTCTCACCTTCACCAACTCCTACTAGAGTGGGGGAAAAGATCACCCCGCTAGCTGCGGCGCGGCTAGACTAGGCGGAAGGTGGGCGGAAATCTGCGAACTGGGGAGGAGAGTGTAGAGGAGCAGAGGGCCCAACCGGGGAAGAAGAGGAAGTTACAGGAGGGGGAGGGGAAAGAGCGTAGACTCTGGGTGGGTGGGGAAGGGATGGTAATGCCCTTCCTATAGGAACCGCAGCTCGAGTAGGGGGCGTGGGGGAGGAGGGCGAGCCTGGGAAAAGTCCGGCGAGGGTAGAGAGGAGGCGCGCGCCTCCGGGAGGGAAAGGGTGTGGGCCGCGGCGAGGGGACCCCGCGGCGAGGCGGACGTCCAAGGAGCCCGCCGCCCGGGGCTGCCAGGTACTCCTCCTCCGCCCTTCACACAAAGGGGCCCAGGGACCCCGCTTCCTGCTCGCGCCGCCGAGCCGGCCCAGGCCTGCGGGCTCCCTTCCAGTCACCGCTGCCTGGGCAGGTTTCTGGGCCCCGGCTCCCGCGAGGGTCGTCCGGCCTGTGAAGGAGACAGGGACGCACATTACCCGGCTGACCCACGCCCCGAACTAGCGGCGCTGGCCGCTGTCTCCCCCGGCTCCCACCCGGATCAGGCTGTCCCCGCCACCGCCGCTTACCCCGCCGTCCGCACCCGCCCGGCCGCCGGGGAGGCTCTGTCACGCCAAGGCCATGGCTACCCGTTGGCTCTTCCGTGTCTCCGCTGCCCCAGCGCAGCTGCTCGCGCCGGGGAAAGGAGCGGGGGCCGTCCGGCGGCGGTGGCGGCCGCAGGGACTCCAGGCGAACCCACCTCTTTTTTTTTCCTCTCCCACCCCCCACCCCCCCAGCACACACCCGGAAGGGTTTCCCTGACACACTGGCTGAGGTGCCCCAGTTCCCCGAGACTGGACGGGATCACTTCCGGTGGGGAAAGTCCCACCTCTCCAGGGCGAGCCGGGTGGCGCTGGGGCCGCGCCCTGCCGAGCGAGCGAGCCGGCAGGGGAAGGTTTCGGGTCGGGACTCCGGCCTCGGGAACGGGCCTCTGGGAACCTGCTGCGTTCGTCCTTTCCCGCCCGCGGCTGCCGCCGACCGTCCCGCCCCCAAACCTGCAGAAGCCCCTCCGCCCCGCAGTCTCCCGGCGCCCGGCCGGAGGACTTGAGCCGTTAGCTGGCCGGTGCCGGACTGCCGGCTAATAATCCAGCGACCGGGAGAACGCCAAACATCCCTGAACTAGAAGTTTCAGTGAAAATCAAACAGCCGGTTTGAAAGTTTATTCTGCTTGCTGGTATTTCTTCCACTTGCTATTTTGCTGAGAGATGTATGCAAACTAGCCTTAGACTTCCTTTGCAGTGCGTTTTACTTGGCCGTGCCTGACAAACACACACGGTACTTTTATCATTTGGTATATCCGCCTTGACTTTACCAGCGAATACCAAAGTCACTTTAACAAAAACCACGAGGCTCGAAAACAAGACCATTAGAAGTAGACTTTATGGTACTCTACTCAGTTATGTTCTCATTCGATTCCAACCACTACACGCAGAAAAGGTAACCAATATTCAGAAAAGAGAGGAGCTGATTGGAAACGGTTTAGGCCTAGAGATTAATTTATTTTAATCTTTGATTATCTGCATGTATAACAATTTGCTTGGCTAGCTGTTACATGCTGAAGTTTTGTTTTAAAGGCTATTCTTTGTAGCCTTTGAAATTCAAAAGCAAGTAGTAACTCCTGTTAGATTCTCATTTTTAGATAAAATTGTTACTTCCCACTATCTTTCCCTTTGCTAGCTTTCTATTTGCAAACTTTGTGTGGGATCCACAGAGCCCCAGGGCCAGGAGACTAGGCTGTATTTTAGGTATGTCACTTTCTTGACAATTCAAGCCTGTACCCAGAAACATGGGATACTCAGTGGCCAGCCTAGCAAAAATGACTCCAAATTCCCTTACTTGCAAGCCCCAAATGGCCAAACTCTATAAAAAGACATCCCAGTCCAGATTATTGGAGATAAGAACACAGATGAATCGCAGTAGTGTGAGGTCCCACTGTCCCTCCCTGAGTATTCCCCAATGTCACTTACAGTAGTCAAAGGAGAGTTTGTAGTTCAGTTTCTCTTTTACCTCAGGCCGGTGCTGTCTCTCCAGCGAAGTCCCCAGCTCTGGCTCCAGCTGGCCTGCGCCCTGCCTCATATCAGAGGCACTGCCCTCTGCTGGAAGAGGTTTGCTCTGTGAGTTATGAGTTTCCCCACAGGTCACTGCTCCTTTCACACTTGCTGTTGCCTGATTTGGAGCTCTGCTGCTCATCTCCCTGTCTAGCTGTCTCCAGACTGTCTGGTGGGATTCACAGTCCTCCACCAGCCGTGCTTGTAACTGAGTCTGGAAATTCCTCTTCTGTCTAGCTAGTGTTGAGCAATCATGGCAAATATCTGCTCATTACTAAACTGTCAAAACAAGGAGTTTTTCAGGTCATCCTACCTGCTGGCAACCATAGTATCTCTGAATGTGTCGGTCATGCTTAGGAGAGAGTTACTTGTTTCTCCAAGCAATGAAACATACTCCTCCCCTGTGGGGTCACTCGCATAAACTATAGGGTGGACAAATATACTCAATCTAAAGATCCTTCTAAACTTTCTTAGGAAGGGTATTCATTACAGCATTGATTGGGAAATCAAACAATTGGAGGAAGCTTAAATGTCCTTCAGCAGGTGACTTTTTAAAAGTTTTATATCTGTCTATATTATCTATCATCTACCCACCCGCCTGTCTACCTATCTATATTCACAAAATGGGATACTATGCAGCTACTTTAAGAGAAAAGTAGATTTGTAAGTGCTGATATAAAAAGATGGCCAACATGTATTGTAGGGCTGAAAAAGCAAGACACTGAACAAATGTCTAGTTGCTACTGTTTATGTAAAATGCGGGTGTGTAAAAGTTACAGAGCCATTCAAATCTGAAAGAAAGTAATTACGGGTGAGGACTATTGTGAAATGGCTTTTATTTCTCCATATCATTTTAATTTTTAAACAATAATCAGGGGAAAGGGGGAGTAAATATAACCTTATAAGATTTTTAAAGGAGGAACAAAAGCAAGTTGTTTACCTCAGTTTTGTAAAAAAAAAAAAAAAAAAAAAAAAAATACCCTGACTGTCTGGGGGTCAGTGGACAGGTCTGTCCAATTTAAGCAAATTCCCTACCCTGCCTGCCCTCCCCAAACATCTCTATACTTAGAAAAGTATTTTCACATACATTATCTCATTAGACTCCAGTTGTTTACCAGTGTACTCTCATTGGGCAATGAGGGTATAAAGACCAACTAGAAGAGTGTGGCCTGGCAGTTGAAAGCCAGGGCTCTGAAATGAGACAGAGGGACATTAAAATGGCAGCTCCCCCACATTCTAGCTGTGTGTCCCCAAACAAGTGATTTCATTTGTCTGAGCCTCTAACTCCTCACCTGTAAAAAGGGGAGAAGTTAATGTGAGAATACAATGAGGTATTACAGGTGAAGTGCCTAGCACTGTCCCTTGCACATTATAAAGCCTCAGTAAACGCCAGCTATTTGGTTTTCATTTAAAAAATTTAACGAAGTGTTAATTTTTTAAAAATAGCAACATGGAGGGGAACAAAATTTTAAAAGCCCAAGTAGCTGCAAATGGCACAAAAATAATTCAGTTACTCTTCACAAAGGTATTTATTGTTAAAAAGCTTCTTATTTTGAGGGGAACATTATTTATATGTTAGTATATCTATCAAGCTACATTCTCTATGTATTTTTTAAAATTACTGGGAGAATCACTTGAACCTGGGAAGTGGAGGTTACAGTGAGCTGTGATCATGCCACTGCACTCTAGCCTGGTGACAGTGAGATTCTGTCTCAAAAAAAAAAAAAAATACTGTACTACAAAAGTAATCACACTATATGCACTATTCTGTACCTTGCTTTTTAAAATATAATTTTTTTTTAGACAGTGTCTCCCTCTGTTGCCCAAGCTGAAGGGCAGAAGCATAATCATCGCTCACTGCAGTCTCTACCTCCTGGACTCAAGGGATCCTCCCACCTCAGCCTCCCAAGTAGCTAGGAGTACAGGTACATGCCACCACACAAGGCTATTTTTTTTTTTTTTTTTAAGTAGAGATGGAGCCTCACTATGTTGTTCATGCTGGTCTCAAACTCCTGAGCTCAAGAGATCCTCTCGACTTGGACTCCCAAAGTGCTGGGATTACAGGCATGAGCCACCATGCCTGGCCTTCTTCATTTTTTTTTTTTTTTTCATGGCTGTATCGTAAGTTAATTAGCTAGCTCCCATTTGAAGGACACTGATTGCTTCTAGGGTTTTGCACTGAACGCCTTGGACATATATCATTGTCAGTTACTGTTTAGGGTGAATTTCTAGTAATCCAATAATTGAAACAAAAGGCACTTGCACTTAAAATTCTTCTGGTAAATATTGCCAAATTGTCCTTCAGAAAGGTCAAGCTAATTCACATTCCCACCAATGCAGTATGACCATATCACTTTATAACCTCACAGTAGGTATTACTAATTTTAGCATTTTATAGTGATTGTTACTTGCTTTAGGGTATTTTCAGGACTAACAGATGCAGAGCAGTGTTTTAGAAATAATTTGGACTTCAGAGCCAGACAGTCTTAACACTGTCCTTCTGCAAGCTACACCTCCATTCCCTCATTTGTAAAGTTGGGCATAATAGCATTATCTAACTCACAGAAGAATAAATGAGACAATCCATTCAAAGCATTTAGCCTTCCAAACACTAACTGCTCAATAAATGGAAACTGCTCAAGTAATAATTTTTCACTCCAAAGGCTCGAATATGGGGGGAGGGGAATGGGAGGACTTCTCCAGAGATCATGCCCTTGAGATTGAGAACTTTTGCTTTAATTCTGCATCAACCTCCTCTCCAAAGTATTGCTCAGGCATTATTTCAAAGAACACAACCCGTTTTTACCATAGTGTGGAGAAATCACAGTGTATACACTATATGCAGATTATGTAAGTAACAGGACCATAATCTTATTTTATGAAATTAGCCCGGCACAAGTTTAAAGTGCTGGATGTTTGCTGCAGGCACCAGCTGCTTACTTCTCTTATCCTTTTCTTCTTTTCAAGTTGTTACCTCCTTCATTTGCATTCTTTGGAGCCACCAACTGCCTGGAATATTTTACCCTAACTTCCACTCTCCAAATGAGCCTTCTTGCCTTCTAGGTCCTGGGGAAAAGCCCATAGCTCTCTGTTTACTATATATGGCTATTATCCATCCAGGCTCTTCCCTTCTCTTTTGCTAGAAGTTGCTCTAGAATTATCAGAAAGTTTGAGCCAGTAGTGTCCTCAGTCTTTGCCTACAGAAATCTTATTTCAGTGCTTTAGGGGCCCCATTGATATAGCTAAATTGTCCTGGGTTCTTTCCAGCTCCTAGCCTCTCAGATTCCAATCTTCTCTTTCCAATCCTGCCTCCAGCTACACCAATCATTAGTTCTGCGCGTCAGGCTCCCCCCAGTACACAAAACCAGTTTTATACCTTTATTATTATCTTTTTCTCATAAAACTAATGTTATTTGCAAAAGAATATGTAAAATAAAAGTATAATCCCACTACCTGGAGAAAATTGCTATTAACATTTTAGTGTCTTTCCCAATTTTTTTCTAGAGAGAGTTAAAGAAGATTTCTTTTCTTTTCTTTTTTTTTTTTTGTAAACTAAGAATGGGGTCAAATAAATTTGCAAATGGCTTCTTTCCTTTACGGAAACATCACATGTGCATAAAGCACTAAAAAATACTCATGTAACCCTCATCCCCTACATGCATAAGCCTTTTTTCCTATAGCTTTAGCTTTCCTG